GTCAAAAACGCTGCTTGCTTCCCCCTGAACGGTTGGGTTTACTCTGATAAGGTTGAAACCTATTCCTCGATCCATACGATTGTTTCTTTGGAAAAAATGGTCTAGTATTCTGGGAGTTGCGTTGCCGTTGTTGATTCCCATAGAAATTACCGGTGTTCCTTTTGTAAAAGGGCACAGAAGACGGCTGCCAACGGGATTTAGGCTGGAAGGAGCCCTGACGTGGAAAGCCATAAATTTGCATAGTTTTCTTCATCTCCTGGTTATGCTTTAGCTTGTCATCAGTCGATGGGTGAAACAAGCCTTCTTCATGCATTGGCAGATGTTCGGCGAGAGCACGTCCTTCCTCAGACAGAGCAGACGCTCTCAGCCAACCATGTCGTCTTATTGCTGTGGCATTGTTGAAAACTTTCCCAGCAGTCTCAGCCATATGCTTAGCAAAGTCCTTTTGAAACTTTGCTAATAAGATAGCCTCTGTGTGAAAGGCTCTTGGCAGGCGTTGCTCATCCTCGGGTAAGAGGTCAACATATGGTAGCATCTTGTTCCAAAGGAATGTTTGATACGCGCTCATGTATGTTGCATAATGAGCCATCCTAGTATAGAGTGCAGCTGCCATATGTGCCTTCTTACCCATGGCATCAATCTTTCTCCCCTCTTTATCTGTAGGTGTGGGGTTCAGCTTCTTAGCCTTTTGTCCATTACCGACCTCTGCTATCACTGTATTGGCAACTGATGGTTTTGCCAACCAGTTTACTGAGGATAAGTCTAGTCTATAAAGGCTATCAACCTTCTTTGGCATTGCAGGGACCATGAAAGGAGATCCCTCAGAGTTCTTTGCTAATTTCAATAAGTATGGCAATGTCGGGAGAGTGGCTACTACTACAGAATCTTGTTGTTCCGCAGGAAACATAGGGTCATCCACTGACTCGGGTGGTTTAGGAGTAGGCAAGTCAAGCGCACGAATCATTCTTGTGATTAGAGATGCAAATTTATTAAATTCTTCACTAGGAGCCTCATCCTCTTCATCCCTGACATTGTTGTTGTTCATTCGTTCAGTCGTCTCCGACTCTTCGTGACCTCAAGGACCAGCATACGCCAGAGCTCCCTGTCGGCCGTTACCACCCCCAGCTCCCTCAAGGTCAGTCCAGTCACTTCAAGGATGCCATCCATCCATCTTGCCCTTGGTCGGCCCCTCTTCCTTTTGCCTTCCACTTTCCCCAGCATAATTGTCTTCTCTAGGTTTTCCTGTCTCCACACTCTGGGCATTTGAATGGTTTCTCCCCAGTGTGAGTTGCTTACGATTGTGCTATTAACTTAGAGGAGGGGGCTAGATTACCTGCTGGGTGTTTATATGCTTTATCTGTTCCAGAGCAACAGGCATTGAGAGAATTCTGACCATCTAGCTCTCCTACTGCAGCACCAGTATTTTTCGTTGCTAAGAAGACTGGAGATCTTAGACTGGTTTGTGACTATAGGGTGTTAAATAAGTTTACTGTAAGAGATCGGTACCCACTGCCATTAATACCTGAATTGTTATCAAGGGTACAAAAAGCTTCTATTTTCTCTAAGTTAGATTTGCGCGGTGCATATAATTTGGTACGAATTCAGGAGGGAGATGAATGGAAGACTGCGTTCAATACATGTTTTGTGGCTTGTGAGTTTTTAGTTATGCCATTCAATTTAGGTAATGCTCCAGCTGTGTTTCAACGTTTAATTAATGATGTCTTCCGTGATCTGTTGGATCGCTTTGTGGTCATCTACTTGGATGACATTTTGATTTTCTCTAAAAATGTACAAGAACATAAGCAACATGTTCGGCAGGTGTTAAAACGTTTAAGGCAAAATGGATTATTTGCCAAGGCAACCAAATATGTATTTCATGTCACTGAAGTTGAGTTTTTGGGGCTATCATTTCGGGGAAGGAGTTAAAGATGGATACTCATAAAGCGGATGCTGTCAATTCATGGAAGGTATTAACTTCCAAGAAGGATGTTCAAAAGTTTCTTGGGTTTGCCAATTATTATCGGGAATTTATTCCACCCTATGCCCAGTTAACTGTTCCTTTGACTCGTCTACTACAGAAGAAGTATCCTTTTGAAAGGACTATAGAGGCTCAACAAGCGTTCAATCTACTTAAGCAAAGTTTTCAGGATGGTAAGATTCTTATACAAACCATTTGTTGTGGAAGCAGACGCTGCCAATTATGCTTTGGGAGCTGTGTTGTCACAAAAAGATTCATTTGGGAACTTAAGACCTTGTGGGTTTTACTCAAGGCAACTCACCTCTTTTGAACAAAATTATACCATTTGGGAAAAAGAATTATTAGCTATTAAAGTTGCTTTTGAGGTCTGGAGGCATTGGTTGGAGGGTGCAAAGCATAAGATCATTGTCAGGTCGGATCATAGGAATTTGGAACATCTACAGACGGCTAGAAAGTTAAATCAGAGACAGATTCGGTGGGCGTTATTCTTTTCGAGATTCGACTTTAAAGTGGAGTTCATTGAGGGGAAGCAAAATATTAGGGCGGTTGCGTTATCTCATAAACCAGAATATAAGTCATTAAGTGAACCAATAACTAAGACTATAATACCACCATCAGACCAAGTTTGGTCTACGTTTTGAGTTGTTGCCAGGAGCACTGAAGTTAAGTGTTTCTGAGCTTATTTTTGTGTTGGACTCAATAAACTGCTTTTGGACTAAGAACTGTGTGTGGCCCCTTTAAGGCGCCTGGGTCTTGTCATGTATCTTAATGGCAACTCAATCTAGGATTAAACAAAGAAGCAAACATGTTGACATCTAGTGCAATTGTGTCAGAGATGCTGTGAAAAATGGAAAAAATTCACTGACTTATTGCAATACTTGTCTGAACTTAGCTAACATATTAACGAAGCCATTGGGGGCACAAAAGCATAGCCAAGTCCTGAATGATTTGGGAGTATTTGAATTTGCTATGTAAAAGGTTTTTTTTTTTTTAACACAAGGAGGAGTGTTAGGGTATACTGAAGATTGACAGCAAGATTGTGTTGCAAAACCTATACTGCTGATCACAGCCTGCAGGAACTAATCTAGGTCAGCAGCTAAGCAATTAAGTTTGGACCATACCCGGTGAGGTGTGGCTATGCGTGTGTATTATCTCCTGCTCCTGCTTTTGGTTCGCTTTTGCTATTAGCTCTCTCCTTTGGCAGAAAAAGAAGATGCCATGCTTTTTGGGTCTTGCAATGCTTACAAAGACTATATAAGTTTATTACACCTTAAGAACTATATTTGATGTAATACTGCAAGTTGTTTTCACTCTGCTGTAAAGAGTAAAGGTTTCTCTTTTTCGTTTTGCAACTGTGCAAAGTTATTGTGTTTTTGTTGGATGGGACTGAATTCCGCTTGAAATGCAACAAAGTCAATCTTCCGACTAAAACCTTTCCCACACTCCAGACACGGAAATGGCTTCTCCCCACTGTGAATTGTTTCATGGTAAGTCAGATCTATCTTCCGAATAAAATTCTTCTCGCACTCCAGGCATTTGAATGGTTTCTCCCCAGTGTGAGTTGCCTCCCCAGTGTGAGGCCTACCTTCTGAATAAAGCCTTTTCTACACTCCAGGCATTTGAATGGTTTCTCCCCAGTGTGAGTTGCTTGATGTAGAGTGAGGCCTGCCTTTTGAATAAAGCCTATTCCACACTGTGGGTATCTGATGCTTTCTCCCCAGTATGAATTGCTTGATGTCAGGTGAAGTGTGTCCTGTTTTGCTCTTTAAAACAGCCTCAATACAAAGTTGAAAGTAAAAGAAAAATGCTTTACTCCAGCAAAGAAAATAAGGGAATGCAATTGAAAAAGTAAACAAGAAAATCTTACTACAGATACTACAGATAAGGCACAGATTACGAAGACCTTAACACAAAGCAGGTTCCGGCAGTAACAGAGTTGTTGTTAGCTAAGTTCTCCTGCTTCTGATTTATACCTCACACAGGAGGGCTTAAGGTGTCACCCAATTAGCTCATCAATCTTTTAGCAGCTAATCTAGCTGACCGCCACCTGTTCTCTGACTCCGTCTTTCTAAAAAAGTAGGCTAAAAAAGCCTCATTGTCAGATTCTCCTTCCTCTTCCTCCAAGACACCTCCCTGCTCCCCTTCTTCTTCCGATGATGAGGAATCCCCAAAAAAGTGCACTTTCTGAATAAAGCCTTTTCCACAGGCCGTGCGTTTCAATGGTTTCTCCCGAGTGTGAGTTGCTTGATGCTTAGTGAGCTCTGCCTCCTGAATAAAGTCTTTTCCACACTCTGGGCATTGGAATGGTTTCTCCCCAGTGTGAGTTGCTTGATGCTGAGTGAGGTTTCTCTTCTGAATAAAGCCTTTTCCACA